AACACGCAGAACATCAAAAGTATAGAAATATTTTTTCCCGTTACCGGACATTCTTTTCTGCCACCAGACCGTGTATTCGCATTAACGGAAAAACAGATCAGGAAAATGGAAACCATATTATTACCCGAAGACTACATGGATGTCTTAAAAGAACATGCGACGGTTTTGCGATTAGGGACGGACATTCCGATATTTGATTTCAAAACACAAAGCAGAAATGTTTTGAAGTCGACCCAAAGCTTTCATTTTCAAATAACAAAATGTAAAAGATTTATTATAACTTTACATAGAGGAGAAGTCAAGATACGTGGTGAAATGTCTTACTATTCTGATACAGGTACGTAATTGACATCCTTATTTATTACTAGCTTCTACCCGCGACTTCGTCTGCGAGGACAGGGACCTACTTAAGGTATCGGGATAAAATGTAGGCTATGTTCTTTTCCATATCGAAGGCTATATGCATGCCAAATTTCAACCAAATCCGTTCAGCAGTTCTTGCGTTATTGAGTAACAAACATCCAAACATCCACATTTTCACATTAATTTATAACATTAATAGGATTATCTTGTGAATTTGTACCTACTTATATGATTGATCGCATTTTACCAACTAGATAGTACTGTTATTTTTAATAAAGACTTTAATTTCATTAATTTTATTTCAGGTGTCGCTAAAACAATAAATAAGCGCGGCCAATCGTTTGAAAAATTTAATCCAGAAATGCTGCCAAATGGAGTGCCAGTTAATGAAGCAAAACTGATTGATGTTCGCAAATTGTTGGAGACACACTTTGGCCAAGATTGGGCCTCGTTGCCGCAATTAAAATATTATAAAAAAGTGCTTAACAGTGAGAATGTGATAGGGCGACCAACTCACGAAGAGATTGAAGAAGATGATTCAGAAGAAATATTGAATTTTGTTTGAATAATTAACACATTCAGTGCCCCCGACGCGTATGTGCGTGCGAGGAAACGCACATACGCGTCGGGGGCACTGAATGTGTTAAATATGCTCTTATCTTACTCTTTTTTATAAAATAAAACAAGATTTCCATTTTTTATTTTGGCTTTTTACTTAGCTAATACAAATTTAATTGTCGATAGCATTCCGTTATTTCGCTACTACCACAACACTAGTTCCAAAGGTATTTTTTTAAATCCAGATAAATCCAGACCTATTTGGGATCTATCTATCTATCCAGATCTATTTACATTATCTTTTTTAAAGATGGATAAATTGCATCCTATTATATCGAATGAAGGTAAATCCAAACTAAATTTTGATTTTTTCAAAGAATGTATGGTTTTAATACTAAACTTGCTTAACAGGATCGTTTTGTTCAATACTGCTGTCATATTAAAGGAAAAACTGCCATAAAAATAATTCAAACATGATTATTAAAAGTTTTTTTTGCATATCTCAAAATAAGGTTGAGTGGATTTATCCGAGTTTGAAGTTAAGCGACACTTATAGCTTCTATTACTTATCATTGGTTCACCAATATTACTTTTATTGATATTATGCGCAACAAATACATTTTAATAGATCAAATAATAAAAAGTTGTAATACCAAAACCGAACTACGACCAAAAACCACGCTGAAAAAGTATAAACCAAGATTTTCAGAATCCTGAAAGGTGTAGTCACACGTTGTCAAAGTCCTATGATAGATAGGTATATGTAACGTGTGACTGTCGTTTTTGGTCGTAGTTGGGTTTTAGTTTTATACTTTTTATTATTGTTCAAAAGTCATTTGAAAATAAAACAAAGTCATATTTATCATATAAATCACAATTTATTACTTATTATGCCACTTCGCGTTCATTATTGGTGGCTTTTATCTTAACTTCTTTTTATTGATTACCTTATTGTACACTAAACAAATAGTCGAGGACACTGTAAAATAAGTGTACAACAGACATTGACTTGCCACACAAACAACAGAAGTCGATCTTTATATAGTGCACATGCATGGTAAGTTCAATAAGAGTGGAGTTACAACATTATATATGGATCAGGACATGATATCAGTTTACATAGTTGGGTAGGACTCTTAGTCAAAATGAATTAAATCAATAAAACAAAAATATTTACAGTTTAATTTTTTTTATATATGGATAATGTTATGAAATTACCACATTCATTTGTAGAAATTTAATAAATTTATTGGAAAACAATATTGCCTTTAACACTAGCCAACCACTGAAACTACCCACTTGATGCAGCAGATTATTCCTAACTTTGTGTTAGCACATTACTAAGCATTACAGCATAATTCATGGACAACTTGTAAATAACAAATACTTTCTACATATTGTACATCCTCCTATCATCCATGCAACATCCTACAAGCTCATTTAGAATAAGGATAAGGGTCCATACCAAAGAGTTTTATACCATTGTATTTTGACAAAAACATTACAAGTGGAACACTGAACTGCTCAATTATATGTATATAGCAGAGTTCAAGTAAAGGAGCTGGCAGCCCTATGAGAATATATTGCTGAGGTAACCATGACGTTGCAGTTTAGATTTTATACATAGAATAGTAGACTCATGTTTCAGATACAGTTTAGTTTTTGTTTTTAAAAAAAGTTGCCTCAATCTTCTCCAAATAAATAAATTTTCTCCTGTGTCATGGGTGCATTTACAAACATACAATTTTACATACATATGACACCCAGACCTAGAAAAACAATTTGTAGATCACACAAAGAGTTGTTTCAGAATCAAACCCGTGACACATTGCACGGCAGCTAGTCGCCCAGCCACCATGCCAACCGTGCAGTCAAATGTAGTCCAGTAAAATACAGAGTACATATTACATAACAAATAGAACACTGGATTAGTTAGTTTCCATCATAAGCCACCACTCAGTTGCACTCTTACCACAACAATGATATATGTATACGCCAGAGTCCCTGCAGTAAGTCCACATTGGTAACACTTGTGTCCCTAATATAAGAAAATATTCACTAATTATTTACACATTTCTTATTTCCTTGCTGCCTGGTAGTGGGAGACAAAGGCAGATGGATTAGTTTCAGTTCATGCCCCAATGAATGCACCAATGTCATGGAAGGCACTAAACTCAGGCAGGTGTGAGTGCTACCTGCGGTTGTTACCTCGCTGGTGGCCACGCCCACGCACATATGTCTTATGTGTGTGTTTGCCAGTATGGTCTTGCGTGGACGCAAAGCGATCAGCTTTAGCAGCATGCGGAGGAGCTGGTGCAGATGGAGCCTGGAGTGGACGAAGTGGAACGTGCGCCCCGTTGGATCGGTCGGGAGCTGCAGTCGCAGCGCCGGCGGCTGGAGGCGGCGGCGTCGGCTGCGGCTCGCTCATGTTAACTTGTTCATTGAACAGCATACAGAATTCGCCCACTTTCTGAATGTCTCCAGACTTTCCAGAGTACAGAGTGAGCGCCGAACGCCAGAGCGATGCGTAACCACGTGTGAGACGAACGATATCGCCGGGCTGCAGCAGCGCGCCAGGCTCGTCCCAAACTGAGAGATTCACCGAAGCGGTGGCGTCAGCTACGCGCAGAGTACGTACTTCTCTAGCCTCCTTTGTGAGTGTTGGTGGACCCACCTCTAGTACTATAAACTCTGCATTAATGTTTTTCATACCAGGTTTTAAATCCTTTATCTGAATATACTGCAAAGTAGCCATTGTGAAGTCAATTTGTTTCGGTAGCAAAAATTAATAAGAAAAACAAATAATGTAAAGTACGTCAAATTAACATATTTTTGTTTTATACAATTGCAGGCAATAGATCATTAAATCAACGTTGAATTAAAACTGAAAAGAAAGTAAACAAAACACACTTTTTCGTTAAAACTTGCAAGAAAGGCAATATTCAACTCGGTGAAACTCTCAAATTAATATGAATGAAGTATTATTAGATGTCAAATTTGACATTGTCAAACAAGTTGTCGAGACCATAGAGGAATTGAATATGTTCTATAGCCTAAGGTGGAGTCCACAGTAGAGACATAAAAATCTTTTGCACTTTTTGTTCCCAATGATGAGGGACACGCACTTATCGGTACTACGATTGTTGCACTTATTCATAGGGATCTAAATTGAGCCATTTTCTGTTGCCTCCAGACCCTCTTGATAAAACCTCGGGCTTTAAATAAGGTTTAACTCCCGGACCCTAGCTCCATAACAGCGTCGCAAATCGAGAGATGATCTCCGGCCACCGTAAGCGCGCGTCTGCGGACATCAAGTAAGGGTAGCTCGCCGCCCAACCAGAACCAGACCTGAGCCTACGGCGCGTAGCGTTCTGCGCGCGCCTCAAATAGCCAACACACCACTGACGAAATCGTAATGAGGCACCGCGGCCACGGCCTAAAGCAGGAAAAGGAACGGGAGCGTTTTTAGTCAGTAAAAGTCTGACACTCTTTCTCGCCTTACCCTGGGCGGGAAAAACCATTGGATTATTTTCCCGTGACAAAAGAAAAACAAAAAGTTCTGCCTGTTACGTGCTGAGAAGTCTAAGGCAAGGTAATAATATCTGATATTTTTACTGTGTCTAAGGGATGAAGTTCCTATTCCATATATAAAAATAGTATAAGGGTGTATAGGTAGGTCTCGCGGGTGTGAAATAAGGGTTCAACACACGATCAACAGTGATAAGTAGTATATTGACACACTTTACAAACTACGAAAACAGCGCGTGCGTCATGGTCACCGGCGCGGGGACTCACTCGTTTCTATCGGTGTTTATTCGCAGGCAAACCTCACTTGTGCGATATAGGATTTGTGGCGTCGGCTGTTGATTATTGTCATCGATCTTATATATGCATTACCTAATCGTCTTATTTATAAAACCACAAGGTTTCCACAGGGTTAATGGCTCTTTCACCAAAGCCAGCCATTGTCATTGTCTGTCTATTGCCGTTTGGCTTAAAAGACTTGTATCCACACTATAAACTTAAAAAAAAATCTATTGCTGTCACTGTCAGTTATCAACCGTCAGAAGTTGTAAATTGTTGGTTAGTTGTTTGTTAGTTTCCGTGACTTCGATAGAGCACTAATCTGTAATAACTTTGTTTAGTATACATTAGGGTTTTGCTGTGTTTTTAACCTGTTTTAGCTAGCCATTCTTTTACTAAGGAACATTCTCGATTATTGTTTTTTAGTGTATACTCGCTTGTTAAACCATTCTGAAATTGGCACGCTGTACAAAATTCGGCTAGCAAGGAATAAATCATGTTCAACCAACCTAGCAATCCGAACAAAGATTTAGAGGTGACTTCGCCACCTGATGACACCGTGTCTGCCCTTGAATTTTCACCACCTTCATTACAGCAAACATTTCTAGTGTCTGGCAGTTGGGATTGTCGGGTAAGTTAACGCTTCGGTTTGCCGGCACACCGGCAACTTTACATTAATTGGTTTTGATTCCATATTGATTATCGTCGTCATCGTTAATTGTTGTATTATCATTCTATTTACTTTCACCTAAACACTCAAAATATGCGTAAACGAAAGGTTTATACCTCATCTCTCATGCTGTCAGCTGATCATAGGGCTGCCATTTGCCTGTTTGAAAGATGTCAAGGGAGCGTCGGGTTGGGGTTTAAGAGTAATCAGATATATGAGTAGTGAGAGTAACATGGTTTAAAATGAGGACCTCTCTTTACTAAAGTAGATTAATACATTATAACCTGCCCAGTGTAAGGAATAGACTTCTAAAAACTCTATCCAAATTGTTTCCAATCACTACAACAAATATACTGGTCAAACCCAGAACCTCTTTTTTATTAGTCTTTTCCAAAATATTGAAATAGGCTGAGTTTTAATTTAGATATGATGATGACAGCCCTATCAGAACCATTATGTAAACAAATAAAGGGCTACTGCAGTATGACTACTGTTGTTGTTGACTCATTCTTGCAATTTCTGTTTGCTTAGTCTTTCATGACAATTAAATATATTATGAAATTATTGTAAAATGACTCATACATAGATTATGCTATTGCTTCTACCAAAAATCCAATAAGTCAGACATGAAATATTGAATTCCCACATTAATAGCCTTGAGATATAGTATTATTTATTACCATTAAAATTAAAATGCAACAACTAACCAGGAAGAATGCCAGCTGTTGAATTAGAACCAATTTTTATTCCACAAAAGCTGAGGCAAGTTTTGAATAGCTTTCAAAACTTGCATTTTCAGATATCTCTCTAAGAGAACCATTTCATATGACAAATTTCACAATTGTGCCAGTTGTTGGTTTTTACCCGACTGCCAAAGAAGGAGGGTAATGTTTTTCGAGTGTATGTAAGTATGTATGTATGTCTTTTCCTTTGTGACCTCCTGTAGCCTAAACGGCTTGATGGATTTTGATGTATGAGGTATCGTTAGATTTGTCTTGATTACGGGAGTGTCATAGGATACATTTTATCCTAAAAGTCCCACGGGATAAGGACATAATAATATTTTTTCTAAATTTCCCTTTAAAAAAATATGTATGCGGTATCATTAGATTCATTTCAATCACGGGAGTAATTAATATAGGATACGTTTTTTCTCAAAATTCCCACGGGAAAAAGTTATAAATAAAAAAATTATTATTAAAAAAACAAAATACCCGACTGCACACTAAAAAAAGAGTAAAACAAGCCCCACAATACAAATTTACTGAATATAATTTATAAATGTTGATGGAAAGCATCGCAGGCGGGGACCACCTTGACCGCCACCAACGAAAATTCTGCTAAATGGTGCACAACAGAAATGACTATAAATAAGCCTCTGTTGGTCCCCGCCTGCGATGCTTTCCATCAACATTTATAAATTATATTCAGTAAATTTGTATTGTGGGGCTTGTTTTACTCTTTTTTTAGTGTGCAGTCGGGTATTTTGTTTTTTTAATAATAATTTTTTTATGTATAAAAATATTAGGCATGAAAAAAGAAGCAATAGACAATAATAAGTAAAGGCAAAAATAGACTGTCTGTGCCACGATTCTGACTGTCCTTAGTACGGAGATCCTTCTTAGGGTTATGTATTCAATGTTACAATGATACCAAGTAGTTTATTAAATTTGAATGAAAGAAATTTAAAACTCATGTTAATTCTCCAAACCTTGTAAAATATATATTTTTCGGGAATCCGCTTGGTCTTCTCTCACTCATCTAAACTACGGACAAGCACCTAGCTTCACTGATAATCTGACTGATGGAATATTATGATTTTATGTTTCTCAAGTACCTGCATTTGGTATAGTTGAAACAAAGGTTTAGTGACTTAACTTTCTCCTCTTCTGTGGCTGCTGACTGTTTATGGTATCAAAGAATTACGAATTGAGAAGTACAATAGGTTACTATTGTGGTTCCAGGTACGATGCTGGGAAGTGGAGACTACAGGCAAGACAATACCCAAAGCCGTGCAGAGCATGGATGGGCCAGTGTTGGACGTGGCTTGGCACGACGTCAGTACATTCCTTACACCTCACCTCCGATGTCGATGTGCGACGCCGGATGCTCTTAATATGTAACTTGATGTTGGTGTTATGTGTTTGCAGGATGGCAGTAAAATCTTTATGGCGTCCACGGATAAAAGTGTCAAGTGCTGGGACTTGGCTTCGAATCAGTGCATGCAGGTAATATATACACGCGCACACACACATTTAAACACACACACACACAGCAGCCGGTCCTGACATGTGTTGTGTTGCAGGTAGCGGCCCACGAGGCGCCCGTAAAGACGTGCCACTGGATCAAAGCACCCAACTATACCTGTCTGATGACAGCCTCTTGGGACAAGACACTCAAGGTAAAAAGATGACTAATAGTGGAATACTTCAAGTAAGAAAACAAAACTATGCAAAATTTATAGCCATTTCGGCTTAGTTGTAAAAACCTTGTGTACTTGTAGTAAAAACCTTAAGCGCCCGTCTCGTTAAGCCTGTGCGGTTGCTTCTATAACATTCAATGTACTTACTATTGAAAACAAATTAGAAAATTTGTTTTACATTGTTTCAGTTTTGGGACACTCGCAGCCCGGTCCCCATAATGAACATGAACTTGTCGGAGCGGTGTTACTGCGCAGACGTGGTACGTATACCGAGCTAGCGCGAGCAGCGCGCCCTCGGTCCGCAGGCGGCTCATGGTTTGTGTGCGCAGGACTACCCGATGGCTGTGGTGGGCACGGCGGACCGCGGCATCTGTCTCTACACGCTAGAAGGCAAGCCTGCGGAGTTCAAGCGCGTCGAATCCCCACTTAAATACCAACACCGCTGCATCGCCATCTTTCGCGACAAGAAGACGAAGCAGCCAACTGGCTTCGCCCTCGGCAGTGTCGAGGGACGCGTGGCCATCCAGTATGTAAACCCCACAATGCCCAAGGACAACTTCACATTCAAATGTCATCGACCTCCTGCAAACACCTCCGGTTATCAGGTACGGCGCTCTCCCACCCCTAGGCGCGCTACACTCAGCGCACTTCCTCTAACGGGTTGGTTCTTGCACAGGACATCTACGCAGTGAACGACATCGCGTTCCACCCGGCGCATGGCACGCTGGCCACGGTGGGCTCGGACGGCTCCTTTTCGTTCTGGGACAAAGACGCGCGCACCCGCCTCAAGTCCTCGGAGATGCTGGACCAGCCGCTCACCAAGTGCGCCTTCAACCACAATGGACAAATATTCGCGTACGCCGTCGGCTACGACTGGTCCAAGGTACGTCACGCGCCTTGCTAATGAGGTTCCAGCATTAGGCACGAAGCACTGTTCATGTTCTCGGCTACATTACAGGGCCACGAGCACTTTAACCCGGCGAAGAAGAACTACATCTACCTGCGCGCTTGCTACGAGGACCTGAAGCCGCGCACCACGTGAGCCCGGGTTGCCCCCGCCGACACTACACCACCACTGCAGTTTTCTATACAAAATTACACCTTTCTGTAACTTCCAATATTACTAAGTACATAATAAAAATATTGTGAGATAAGTTGGAGTCCAATCGATTCCAATTTTTAATTTTACAATTTAACCTTTCACTCGTAATAAGTCATGTTAAGACTATAAATGCGTGAACGCCGGCGTTCGTTTGGGGTTTAGTTATTTGAGGCATATCTTTAGGCAAATAAATAAATAATTTGTGATTTTCTTGAAACGAATATTTATCTGATTGAGTGAGAGCCCCGATCCCCAAGCCTGAGCCCAAATAAACTGTGTGTGCTTAACGTGGAACATTATAGCAATTATTAAAAAGGTGGTAAAGATTATAACCGTCTGGTTATAATCTTCATGATAAAAAGCGGTACACATCGCCATTATCAAAGGGGATATAACTACTATCTCTAGTGGTTCTATCCTCTAGCTAGAGCTTATAGGCCGATCTCTTATAAGACGACTCACTACCGCGGGCCGAGGGACGAGAAATAACGGGCGACTGCAATTGTGCAGTTCAAGGTCAAGTTGCGTAGGTAAGTAGGTATGACTATCGTTAGACGATCTACTTGATTTAAGGGACAATAGCTAAAATACATGTATGTAAGTTCCGGAATCTACGGAAATGTAAAATGAAAACATACAGGGATGTCCAACACACAGACGAATAAAACTTTAACAGAGAAACATAATGTTTTCCAAATCAGTAAAGCCGTCTTCCAGTAATACGGGAGCATTATACATTAGAAAAATTGCTTTTTAATCGGTTAAAAATATTTACCTATATTTTTGCATTAGAAATGCTAAGTGAAAGAACGAGACTTACAAAAGACATCAACGTGCGTATCATCGGTGTGCTTTTTTTACCCAGCCACCATTTTATCTAGATCCCTACGGAGTCTCATATTAAAATATTTATTTAATTACCGATGAAAAGTAATGCCATCTTTTTTGTAGCTAGATATCTTGGAATGTTTCCTACACTAGTTTACATGAAGGCATTTTGATGCGATAAAATTGCAATAATAAGGAAAGAAAATGTTTTTATTTTGCGTGCATAGAGGTTTAACACTTGGACACAATTAAATGGTTACTATTACCGAGGCGGGCAAAAGCAGATATAGGCGTCAAGATACTAATCGTTTTCGAGCGTCGCCGCGTCGGGGCACCGTATGCGCCGTCTCAAGTGGTTTTATCGTCATTGGTCATTATCCATGTTGGCAAGACCAAGGTGTGGTACAAGCTTACACTATCTTTACTGTGCTTACACCATGAAAAAATAATATGAGAGTCAAATTCTTCGCAGTAAATTACACATACTTACTTTGTATTAGGTACATACTCAGTAGTTTCGGGGCTGCGAGTAATAATAAACCGCGAGCCGGCTCGGAGAAGGAGAAGGGACGGAGTGGTTTTATTCAGTAAGTCTGACGCTCATGCCCTGCTTGTGGCGGGACGGGTTATTTGATGATTTTTCTCCACGAAAACAGATACTAGGTTGCCTAAAGTCGCAGAGAAAATACTTGGTATAGATATAATATTTGTATTATATTTCTACGCCCTAGCCAATGGTTGTATAGCATTCAAAGATAACAGAACAGTATAAGATTAAATTTAAATAATACGGCGTTAGTGGTGCGCGTGCCCGTGGTCCCCGCCACCGCCTAACGCCTTGGTGGCGGCCACGGTGAGCACGGCCAGCCCCAGCCCCAGAGGCAGGCCGCGGAAGAACACAGCGCGCGCGCGAGCCCACTTCGTTCCGAAACCGGGGTGGTACCGCCATGCTTCATTCCTACAAATGGAATTATCCAATTATGGGTAAAACATTCCGTAAAGTTGTATTTATTGGAAAAAATGCAGATTTATGTTGAAACATGTCAACATGACCTGTGCAGATGTTACAACAGATCATTCCCAAGCCTTCTTCTAAATAATCTTTTATTTTGGAAAATGCTTTACTTTTTAAAAGAATTTATTAAAATGTATCTTTTAAGATTCAAATTTTGAATACACTAAGAATTTGTTTCTATGAAGTAGTAGCAAATATGATACAGAAGTGATAGTCACCTAATCCATGGATCACGGAGGCCTTTTTTCTGTAGTTCTTTCTCAAGTTCTTCTAGCTGTGGGATACCCTTGATGGTGAACTCCTTGTAGCTTGGCACCTTGTATGGAGGTTCATGACCATGTCCATGTCCACCCATCTGAAAATAATATTAGGTACCTACTTAAAATTTAAGACAAGCAATATTTCTTTTGTACAAAATACAAATGAAAGATGTATGTTGTTTCATCAGTCACCAAGTAAAACAAAATACAATACATGAACAATTTTTTCATGTTGTAATTAGAACATTTAAACATAGGCGGCCTTATTACAAAACAAGGTTTTACTTTAGTCTAGGACTAAACCATTGAGCCAGTTTTCGTATTTCGAATTGAAGGTAGATGACAATAAGATTCAAAATTAAAAACCCGACTCAATGGTTTAAACCTAGACTAAAGATAAACCTTGTTTTGTAATAAGGGGGATTGTCATTTATTTATTCATGCCAAGGTTTCTGTAACACTGTCATTCCATTGATTTCTGGCAGATTCCGCTGAAGTATGGTTCTCACCTAAAAGTTTCACTTTTGTAATAGTAAACTATGAGGCAGTTTCTCCTACATGCAAATATGTAGCAACACCTTTATATGGATAGGCAATGATCCACTAGCAGTGACATCATATCTACCAGCCATCCACTATTGAATATGACATTCACCTAACTCATTTTTTGTTAACCCTCCCAATACGGTTGGAAGTGACTTGCATCTATCGGCATATATCCCTCTTCTTTTAATCAGTAATTTAAAAATAAATGATAGATAAGTACATATATTTAATGTCTGACCTGAATCTGAACTGAGGTTGCTAGCCATCCACCTACAACTGAATAACCTTTTTAGAGCCTTGCTTTTTAATAATCTCTTATATTTACCGTGCCGCATTGGCTATTATATTATACATTTTTCAAAAAAAGCATTTCGTATTACTTTTTTCATGGCAACAAAACAAAATTATAACCTATTAACATTACATAATTCCTCCTATATACCTACGTATTACATTATTTATTATCTTTATCACAAACGTTCATTTCAACTATTTATACAATTGTAATGCATTATTGATAAAATAAATACCTTTATGTTTTATGTATATAATTTTTTCGAGTATCCCTTTCTGAAATCTTTGCTTTATCTAATACTGTCAAAATGACAATAAACTTTTATGTCAAACTTCAAAGCATTGGCAAATGGCAAAGTGTAGAGCCCAAATGGAGGAATTAAATCTCTATGGTCTTAAATAAAACCCCAGCAAAATGATCAGTTAAACTATTTCTATGAAAATAACTACAAATCCCTTGTAAGGGCTTATGCGAACAACTTTTATTTGTAGACAAATGTATTTTAAAATGTTTTTAAATGTAATGTGTATAATGTAAACAATACTCCGCAGCAACATTATATTTTTTACATCTAGCAATACAAACTCTACGGTAAAAAAAATAAACTGGACTTGCTTGAAGTTTGTTGTATTTATTATTACTGTCGTTTCGTTAGCCGCGTCTCGCTTGCTTCGTTCGGCGGGGTAGCTACTTGTCCGGCTTTTGTAATTTCTAGGCATTAACAGAAATGCCCAATATACTATACGGTGTCGTCGACATTGTGTATTTTGCGTTGCAAGGAAATAATTTATAAGTTTATTTATTTTAGTGCCATAGTATTTTGAATCACATTTGTTAAAAAAATTGTCGATCTACTGTCTACGGAGTGGCTGAGAATACTTAGTGATATCAAGTTCCAGTCAATGTACTCAGTGTATTGTGTTATTGTAGCGTCAATAGTAAACAAAAATAGATTCGGATGCAATCTAACTTTTCTCAAAGATTCACATAAAAAGTAGTTGGTTTAACTTAACGAGTTCTGTGTAGTCAGTTCTTAACAGCTCTCACGCTTGAATAATAATATGTGAAGTATAGTGAGAAAGATCGCAAGCTGGTAGTGAGACAAAGGATGGCGGCCGGTACCGGGTGGCCGGCGGCTGCGGCGCTACTTTTGGCGATACTCGGTTTAGCGCACTCAAGTTCGGGTAAGTTGCTTGCTTCCGATTTCCAGACTAGTACTTTAACTGCTGCCTGCACGGTGAGCGGGCTGCTCAAGCTGCAATGCTGCCAGCTAGTTAACTCACACGAAGTTCTGACGATACAGACACTACAAGTTCTGAGTAAGAACGCCTGTCGTAAAGTGTCGTAGGTACATCATCTCGACACTCGACAGGCGAGCCGAGCCCTGGTCAACTGGCGCTCGCAGATCGTATACCTGTCTGATTAGATTAGGTACTTTCTATAAATTTTGTGGTTATTATAAAATTTGGTCTGTGCATGTTTTTTACATATTGTGTAGTTGCTAAAAACATTGCTATATAATATATAACCTATTAAATTCTAATAATTTTTTTAATATTTAACTACTTACGAATACGTTACTTATTTTAAGATGTTTGCAGACGATTAATTTACGTCTAACCTGAGTACCTATTATTATTATAAGTTACCCGTCTAAATGATAGGTAACCAGTCCCAGACTCCCATACTAATACATTCCCATTTAAATTAACTTTTTCTAAGTACCGTACATCCACTGGGTACTTATAAGAAGTTTTATAGTGTAAGTACTTGACAGAGTAGACAACGACTGAATCATAATGTTTTGAACTGTTATATTATATTCCTCTTCGGAGTTCACGCCCAAATCCCGTCAGTTCTAAAGGTTTCAAGGATTTTTTGGGCGTTGCAACAAACGAAGTCTTGCCACAGTTTGTTACTCGCAGATGTATTTAGACGACAGCACCTACCTGAGCGCGTGCGCCTGATGCGTATCAAGTTCATCTCCTTAAAATCGTAGAGTAAAGCGTAGCCCAGAAATATCTGGTTAGATATAAAAACATAGCCATTTATGACTATCCCCTTTGTCTGAGTTAAGAATTCAATTGGAGAGTTCTACTTCGGCAATCGCTTGCTCGGCGTGTCCACTTGAATAGCGACACAGATTTTATAAGAAAACACAGTTGGTATAGGTATGTAACTGGGCTGTAAATACGTAATCATGGACATTCTTGCTTGTTCTTGACCTCTGAAGCAGCTACACTTTGGAACGAACAAGGACTGGAATTAATTGTGTAGGTTATAGACATGTAACAGCAACAATATGTAATACTCTTGTGGTTCACTTTAACTCGATCATCTATGCAAGTGTACCGTCCCTTTTATTTATTTATCAAAACATGTTTACTTGACGCTATCACGAAAACAGTACCGAAATGTATATCATTTTTTAAAGAGTATAGTGTACCTGAAATTTCTTTATTGGAGAAAGGTTGGCCTTCGTTATCTGAACTGAAGTGTTGAAGTGCTCCAGTGCCGTCGCTGGTGGCATCGTATCACAATCAAACACGTTTTTAACAAGACTTAGTTTTGCGTCGTTTTTCTTGATGTTGGAGGGAAATATGTTTTGTTAACGTGCATGTCGTGCATTAGGCACAATTGAAACTCTCATCTTAGTTGCGTGAAACTACGCGACAGTAGCGTAGTCGGGGGCCGCTGCTGCCGCCAAACTCGTTCTGTCAATATCGTAGCAGGGCCGGTGCGTAACACATCCTCCTTGCACGCTCTAACAAATCCTAGACATTAAATATTAGCTTTAATGGCAGCCTACATATAAATAAGCCGTTATTTTGTACATCTAACGCTGAAACCAATATACGCTTGAGAAGGTGCTTTTATACTGTTGTAATTGTAAATAAGTACAGCATACACAAGGAGCAGAGCAGAAGGTATGTATACCTACATAATTTAGTAAACGGGGCAATTAGAAGCATCAGTCTAATCCGTGCACTGGTTCTGCTGTAATCGTCGTTCGTGCTGTAGTCGATGTTATAGACGACAGCCGAACTAATAACTAGTGGATCCAAACCGGCGTGTACAAAGCTTGCGGTATATTTCGTTGTGTACCTGACGTCTTTGGAAGCCTTATCTCTCCTCCTGTTACCTGTTGCTTCTAGCACCATTATCCTAATCAATCTCCAAATTCTCAACCCTTTTAGTGTCCATGGGTGACGACGGTTGCTTACAATCAGGTGAGGGGGTTGCTGCTTGATAAAAGCTGTCGTCGTCAAGCGTTTGCCGCCCTGCGTATGCCATAAACTGAATAAATAATTGCCGACGAGAGAAATAGAAGAATGGTAGGGAGACCTTTGTCCTGCAGTGGGATTATCGTGGCAATAAAGTAATAATTACTATGCTTAATCGCTTCTGCTGGTAGTTAATAAAGATGATGATTTGTAAGTATGTATGCGTTGAAAGATGTTTTGTTATTCTTACACGTAAACACTTAGATTACTTTTATCTGGGTAACGCGGATGAAACCGCTGGCAGACGCTAGTACCATGGTATACGCATATCCAGTATAATAGTCTTGTAGCTTATATGCATGGAAATTCAACATTTGAGACTCTTGGGACGCAAATTTTTGCATTATGCAGAAGATGTTATATCGAAATATGTGTTAAAAGAGATGGGACTGACAAGTTCCTGTAACTGTTCCTGTACTCAGTGTATACTTGTATGAAGCAAGGAACTGAGGAATTTATTGTTAATACTAGTAAGGAGTATGCTGAAAGTAATTATTTTAGCGGCGCGTGACTGGTAGGTACCTAAGGATCCTGTCCGAGTCGCGCTAGCTGCAGAAAAAAGAACCGGTTGATGTAGCAGTGGCCTGGCGCCCGCACGCCGCCTCCATGTACTTATTTGTTAATTACCTGCTACAGTTGCTTGGAGAGAGGACAGTCCACAGACACTTGTAACCTTTACACTGTACAGACAACTGCTGCTGCGTTTGCAAATTTCTCATTTATTTCTTGCAGTCCGTAGCTACTTGCGTTCAACAAGCTGTACTAGCCAGTAGCTAACCGCACTTAACTTTATCTACAGTCTACACGCTTAACCCTCTCGGATTTTTCTCTTAAATCTTTCAAGAATCACAGTTGATAACTGCTTAACCCACGTTCATAGAACAGCTATGTTACGAGTCTCATATCGATCATTTTATTGACATTTATATTCAAAGGGGTTGTAAAAGTCAATATTTTTAAATAAAACACATAATCGGTAGTCCAACCCTCCTGAAATTGTTGAATCACGAACTTCACAAAGGTGTCGACTAAATAATGAGAGACCAATATTGGATGCAGATAATGTACGTTGGGTAAAAGCACCAACAAGCATTTATTTGTAAAATTATGTACTAATTATTAAATTGTTAAATTTTACACGGCTGGACTACCATGAAATATTATGAATTAAATATACAGTATAATGACAATATGACCATGAAAAGTTGCATCGAAAAATGTTCCAATCAATATATACCTAGGTACGGCATGAATTGTAAAATTAGGTAAGTATGCTATTTAGGTACTTTTAATTTAAACTTCTCCAAAGTGTAAACTGTGTAAGAGACAGTAATAATGTTTATTAAGAAATATCATAATTTATCATAATTACGGTAAATACATGAATAAGTATACCTCACGGCGAGTAGATCTCATACAGGGTATGTACTATGCACAGACGACAGAAGAGAGGAAATCGTAGCTCGGTGATTTCATTTTATTACCATCCTTGAACAAAGGTAAATGGCAGGTCCTGTACCGCATCTCCCTCGCCCTGGGCGGGAGAGGTCATTTGATGATTTTCCCCAGTAGTCACACGTTACATATGTATCTACATACCGCAGCACTTTGACAACGAATGACTACGCCTTTCATGTGTTCTGAAAATCTTGTTTAATACTTTTTGTCGTCGTTAGGTTTTAGTTTTTATACTTTTTATTAATTGTACTATTTTGGTGTTAAAGTGTATTTGTAACGCATAATATCAACAATAAATTGATAAACTAATGATAAGTAGTAGAAGCTATGAATGAAAAGATACGAATAATATGCAATCAGCCCATGAATACAGGCAAAGTCAGAAGCAAATGCTAGTAATGTATGTATAGGTATATATTTCGGAGAATCGGGAGGCCGGGCTGTATTTCCTTGTTCTCCAGGTAGTTCGCTGGTATTCATGGTAGATATTGCAATAGAAATTTGGTAAATAATAAAGTGAACCGATAAAATTTGAAATCCGTGTATTAAATTAAACAACGAACAAATTCTCCACTACTTTTGTAAATTTCACTTATACGCCGTTATATATATTCAAAACGTACC